GCTATATATTCTATATTGCCCCAACATCATTCCTATATTATCATATAAATATCCTATATACTTGGTGGATATCTTCAAGATATTTACAGAATAATGTTGTTATATGGGTAAGTGCGCCAACCAACACACATTATTATATGTTTTACTTTCCTATTCAAAAGCTTGAAGCCATAGATTCGTTAGAAAGACTAAGTCGAGGACAGGGATAACGTCAAACTTAGTCCCAATTAGATATTCAGCGTGTAATCAAAGCAGTGGAGTAAAACCACTGGGTTGACGCAAAGCTGCAAAAACATTTCATGTCCTAAAAAATACGCTTAGAAGACTAGCAGAAAATAAAAATAAAATATTACAAGGCAGTAACCTTGTTTTCTTTTTAGGAGCGCTATATATTCTATATTGCCCCAACATCATTCCTATATTATCATATAAATATCCTATATACTTGGTGGATATCTTCAAGATATTTACAGAATAATGTTGTTATATGGGTAAGTGCGCCAACCAACACACATTATTATATGTTTTACTTTCCTATTCAAAAGCTTGAAGCCATAGATTCGTTAGAAAGACTAAGTCGAGGACAGGGATAACGTCAAACTTAGTCCCAATTAGATATTCAGCGTGTAATCAAAGCAGTGGAGTAAAACCACTGGGTTGACGCAAAGCTGCAAAAACATTTCATGTCCTAAAAATACGCTTAGAAGACTAGCAGAAAATAAAAATAAAATATTACAAGGCAGTAACCTTGTTTTCTTTTTTAGGAGCGCTATATATTCTATATTGTCCCAACATCATTCCTATATTATCATATAAATATCCTATATACTTGGTGGATATCTTCAAGATATTTACAGAATAATGTTGTTATATGGGTAAGTGCGCCAACCAACACACATTATTATATGTTTTACTTTCCCTATTCAAAAGCTTGAAGCCATAGATTCGTTAGAAAGACTAAGTCGAGGACAGGGATAACGTCAAACTTAGTCCCAATTAGATATTCAGCGTGTAATCAAAGCAGTGGAGTAAAACCACTGGGTTGACGCAAAGCTGCAAAAACATTTCATGTCCTAAAAAATACGCTTAGAAGACGAGCAGAAAATAAAAATAAAATATTACAAAGAGTAACCTTGTTTTCTTTTTAGGAGCGCTAAATAGTCTATATTGCCCCCAACATCATTCCTGTATTATCATATAAATATCCCAAATAATCGTAAAAGGCTTGCCTAGGGATGTCATGAAGATGACTCTTTTTTGTGCAATCTGAATATCCCATAAATATATACCCATATCATATATACTTGGTGGATATTTTCAAGATATTTACAGAATTATGTTGTTATATGGGTAAGTACGCCAACCAACACACATTACTATATGTTTTATTTTCCTATTCAAAAGCTTCAAGCCATGGATTCGTTAGAAAAACAACGTCGAGGACAGGGATAACGTCAAACTTAGTCCCAATTAGATATTCAGTGTGTAATCAAAGCAGTGGAGTAAAACCACTGGGTTGACGCAAAGCTGCAAAAACATTTCATGTCCTAAAAATACGCTTAGAAGACGAGCAGAAAATAAAAATAAAATATTACAAGGTAGTAACGTTGTTTTCTTTTTAGGAGCGTTAAATATTCTATATTGCCCCCAACATCATTCCTATATTATCATATAAATATCCCAAATAATCGTAAAAGGCTTGCCTAGGGATGTCATGAAGATGACTCTTTTTTGTGCAATCTGAATATCCCATAAATATATACCCATATCCTATATATTTGGTGGATATCTTCAAGATATTTACAGAATTATGTTGTTATATGGGTAAGTACGCCAACCAACACACAATACTATGTTTTATTTTCCTATTCAAAAGCTTCAAGCCATGGATTCGTTAGAAAAACAACGTCGAGGACAGGGATAACGTCAAACTTAATCCCAATTAGATATTCAGTGTGTAATCAAAGCAGTGGAGTAAAACCACTGGGTTGACGCAAAGCTGCAAAAACATTTCATGTCCTAAAAAATACGCTTAGAAGACGAGCAGAAAATAAAAATAAAATATTACAAGGTACATAGTAACCTTGTTTTCTTTTTGGAGCGCTATATATTCTATATTGCCCCCAACATCATTCCTATATTATCATATAAATATCCCAAATAATCGCAAAAGGCTTGCCTAGGGATGTCATGAAGATGACTCTTTTTTGTGTAATCTGAATATCCCATAAATATATACCCATATCCTATATACTTGGTGGATATCTTCAAGATATCTACAGAATTATGTTGTTATATGGGTAAGTACGCCAACCAACACACAATACTATATGTTTTATTTTCCTATTCAAAAGCTTCAAGCCATGGATTCGTTAGAAAAACAACGTCGAGGACAGGGATAACGTCAAACTTAGTCCCAATTAGATATTCAGTGTGTAATCAAAGCAGTGGAGTAAAACCACTGGGTTGACGCAAAGCTGCAAAAACATTTCATGTCCTAAAAAATACGCTTAGAAGACGAGCAGAAAATAAAAATAAAATATTACAAGGAGTAACCTTGTTTTCTTTTTAGGAGCGCTAAATATTCTATATTGCCCCCAACATCATTCCTATATTATCATATAAATATCCCAAATAATCGTAAAAGGCTTGCCTAGGGATGTCATGAAGATGACTCTTTTTTGTGCAATCTGAATATCCCATAAATATATACCCATATCCTATATACTTGGTGGATATCTTCCAGATATTTACAGAATTATGTTGTTATATGGGTAAGTACGCCAACCAACACACAATACTATATGTTTTATTTTCCTATTCAAAAGCTTCAAGCCATGGATTCGTTAGAAAAACAACGTCGAGGACAGGGATAACGTCAAACTTAGTCCCAATTAGATATTCAGTGTGTAATCAAAGCAGTGGAGTAAAACCACTGGGTTGACGCAAAGCTGCAAAAACATTTCATGTCCTAAAAAATACGCTTAGAAGACGAGCAGAAAATAAAAATAAAATATTACAAGGTAGTAACCTTGTTTTCTCTTTAGGAGCGCTAAATATTCTATTTTGCCCCCAACATCATTCCTATATTATCATATAAATATCCCAATTAATCGTAAAAGGGTTGCCTAGGGATGTCATGAAGATGACTTCTATTTTTTAACACCAAAGCACCAACCAAAACAAAAACCACAACAAAAACAGTTAGGTTAACTTTGAAATTTGAACATCTTTCTTCCACGGTCAACAGTGTCAATCGTAAAATTTCCACCAATCAAATGCCAGAATTCTAACACCATTCACAAGTCTAGTGCAAAGTCAAATCATGCGACAGGGACAGTGTCAAACTTAGGCCAATTACGTACGCATTGTTTAGGAGGGCTATAGTTGAGAAAAGCACAAAGCCATACATAAATTCGCACATAAAGCAGGTGTACGGCTTTGTGCTTTTCTTAATCCCAATTGATATTCAGTGTGTAATTGAAGCAGTGGAGTAAAACCAATAATTGGGTTGACGCAAAGCTGCAAAAACATTTCATGTCAATAGTAGAAATTACAGCAAACTGACAGATTTATTAGCAATAAATAGCTTACAAACTATCATATAACTACTATTGAATTCAAATATTTTAAATGTAGTATACAGACTAGGTACTGATTGTTGGAACAATGTTACCAAAGTGGTCACTTTGTAATATGTGAATAGGGTTCTTGTAAACTATAAGTACCTCGGAATGTTGCACTTATTCTTGTTTTTTTATTAAAGCTTTACGTAAATAGGGCTGATTCAAATCAAAAAATCATTGGATCATGCAATTTTCTTCTATACCGAGTGCGTCTCAAAAGTGGCTCATCTCTATAACTTTTTTTGTTTGTCAGTTAAAAAAAAAGAAATTTGGTATGTTAGTATATGACATAAATTAGGATCGATTGACGTATTCAATTGTTTTCCGTCCCTTCCTGTTTCACCGGAAATCACTACAACTTTTGATATTTAAATGGCACCCTCGGTATTTTTTTACTTTATTTGATAGAAAATAACACTCCCAAAAGAATGACATATATGTCAACTTTTGACATTTTCGCATATAGTTTATTTGAAATTATAACATGCGGTTCATAACGACAATTTGACTCGAAATACCAAGTGTGTGGTATCAAATTATTTGTAAAAAAATGCTTTTTCCAACTAAGCTAATGAGCAACCCCCGTTCCATTTGAAAAAATTGAGATATGATTAAAAATACGATTTGATCATCTTTTTACCGGTTTGGACAAGTCACTAAAAATATTAGACCATCAAATATATTTTTGCAAGGCTCCTTGATTAAAAATTAGTGTTTTTAACATAACCATGGCACTCTAGATTGAAATTTAATATACAATTTTTTATTAAGCGAGGATGTCAAAAGTTGACATATGATATGTCATTCTATTCAGAATGTCATTTTCTATTGAATAAAGTAAAAAAATTACGAGAGAGCCATTTAAAAATCAAAACTTGTAGTGATTTCTGGTGAAACAGAAAGGGACGGAAATTAATTGAATTACATCAATCAATCCTAATTTATGTCATATACTAACATACCAAATCTAGATTTTTTATGTGAAAAAATAAAAAAGTTATAGGGGTGAGCCACTTTTGAGACGATGATTTAAATAATTAACTGTGATTTTGCAAAAATATTATTAGATTGGGTTGCTTTGGTTAGCTTTTCTTCGTAGAGAGTGTTAAGCTATGGTTTTTATATTTTAATAATTACCTGTGATTTTGTAAAAATATTATTAGATTGGTTAGCATTTTAGACACTTTTAAATGAATTTTTTTGGTTCAAAAGTGCTTCATCCAAGGATTTTTTTTTCTTTTAAACTGCTCTATAAGCATAGGACTTTCTGCAAAAAAATGCTAAATTCGTGGGTACTTATACTTTACAAGACCCTGTGGATAGCATTACCTAAGAGCTGACCTGGATAGCATTACCTAAGAACCTTAAGAATAATCAGGTACACTTCAATATATTCAAGATAAGATAATATAAACTAATAGATAATAATACCTAGTTTTGACCTAATATATATAATATACAATAGGATGAGTCAAAACACTTCACAATTACATCCATTACATTAACCACAGTTACATCCTACTTCCATTTACCTCATCCATTGGTTGTTTCTTTCCTCTGCTTTCTGCAGCTTCTCTAAGTCCTGATGGGGTGCCAATGTTAAAATACTCTTTATTGTTATCACTTTCTGACACTCTGGCTTTCCATGTTAAATTCGAAAGAATGAATGAGAAATTTAGAAGTCAAGTTATTTATTTTACTGATTTCGAATAATATGTCAAGAAAAAATTACAAATTTTGCATTTTTTCATTTTTAAATTAAAATATTGTACCTACTTTTGGAATGTAAGTAGTTGTAAATAAAATAGTTACAAACCAGAGACAGACCATAGTTACAAACCAGTTACACAGAATACTTTTTTATTAATGTCTCCAGTCTAATGAAATACTTCCAGGCTGCGTTCAGGCATTGCGGACGATAGTCTGTTTGGACATGACGTAACAACCTAGAGATGTTTGTTCTTGTTCCACTACATTGAAATTATATTGAGATGTCTCTCTCTATAAGAATATCCTTTATTCTAGAACGTTGCAGGACGTAAATTTTAGGTCCTGGGTGCATCTACCCTGAATATCTGAACGCAGCCCCATATTCAATGTGTGCCAAGAAAATTGCTTCCATATTTTGAAAAATAGCCTGGAGTGAAAATTTGAAACATGTAACATGATATAGAACTTTTTCAGAACACTGAATCGCTGTGTAAATCGGTTTATATAACTGAAACTATGTTAGGTAAATGAAGAATAAAGAAATATTTTCAACTAATTGGCATCCCATCTTGACTGTTTTCAATCGCCTAGAGTATTTTTTATATATTATATCTTTTAATTCTTGTTTTGTACTCATAGGCATAGTTTATTTTTATCATATTTTTGTTATTGTTACTTTACTGGGCTGTTAGTTTAGCCCGTTGATAAATAAATAAATAAATAAAAAAACAAATAGCACACATTAGCCAGATAATTAAATATTTTGAACTTTAATTTCTTACGAATGTTCTAATGAAATCCTCACTGCAGTTCTCAAATATATTAGGTATTTAACACAAACAGTTGTAGCTAAAGTCCAACATACATTGACCTCAAATAATTTCTAGAGAAGTTCTCTCATTTTAAAGGACTAAAAAATATAGGAGTTATACTTAATAATTATCACTATTAAAATAAAAAGTATTAAAAATAACACACAAGTTACCTGTATACACTTTTTTATACATTTATGGACACAATCTACTGGTTGCCTTGCTGGTATTCAAATTATTTTTTTTCATATGTAATTCCATCTTTCCATCTCTCTTAGCGGCTTGATTTCTTGCACAACAATTATTTTACTTTCACAATTTTTAATTTACAGTAGAAAACAAAGCATTCCATTTAAAAAAAAAATCAACGAACAAAAAATCTACGCACAACACAAACCCTCTGTATCCGTAATCCAAACAAAATACAGCAGTGGGACTCTGTGTCATGTAGAATTCTACATATCGTCAGAATTCTATAGGATCGGCACAGTGTGGCCAGATTGGGCGATTTGTCGCAATTTGGGCTACTTTTTTCAAAATTTGGCGACCATTTTTTAGCAAAAATCGCAAGTCGCAAATTGGGCGATTTCCAAAATCAATTGTGCGACTAAGCGAAATCAAAAATGTCGGCTGATCATTATCTGTCCGAATCGTAATATCGTACAAGAGAATGTTTGGGACTTAAAATCTAAGAACGTAGCAAATGGTCTAATATATAGCAACTATATGGTTAAATTTATTTATTTATTAACAACTTAATTTATTAATAAATAAATACAAGATAATAAAACGATATGATATTATTCGTACATGATACACAAAAACCGTATTGTAAACTATTGCCAAATACATAAAATTATGATATCAAAAAACTCTTTAGCAGTTATTTTTAAATTAATTTGTAATCTTGTGACACCCTCTATAATTTATTTTAAAAAAATATATTTTATTTTGAAAATAATAAATAAGATAGATATTTTAATTTTAATTTTAACACTCGGTAATTGTAAATTCATATATTAAGTATCTAAGACAATTTTTTAAACTCAGTGCCTTTTGATGGAGTTGTTTTGTTTTTATACTATCCGATTGAAATGAATCTTTTTGGGCATTCACCTGTTAAGCTTGAACTCCCTGTGACTGCGACTACCTGTGTTGGTAACTATTGGTAACTCAAAAGATCTACATCATTCAATATATCGATATTTGAAAAAAAAGTGTAAGTTTGATATCTGCAGAACAAAGGCACGAAGGATTTTAACAAATAATATACATACAGTAGAAAAGTACATACCTTTGGCAATCTTCAACATAATTTGGCTTTCTAATAAAATGTATAAGCATTTGTAAATATTTTGTTTTCGTATGATCTCTGCCTTGCTGAGCAGAAAACGACCAAATTTGGTTGATAAAAATGTATCGAAATACAAAGAATATTCATGCATTTTTTATCAATTGGAATGTCTACTATTTATTCTTATCAGTACACATTTTTTGGCTTATTTCTAACCAAACGCTTTCGTCCCGCTAAATTTATCTTCCAACGCACTGTGCGCTCGTCCGTCAAATGCAAAAATAACTGTCACTGTCTAAAATCTTTAGCGCCAACTTCAACTCGGTCAATAGATGACGTAAAAAAACTGACAGTGCAGGAAGATAGGAATCGAACTATCCTTATATCTATAGTATCCTTGGGTAAAGGCTGGGTAAAAGATAGTAAAAGCCTTGATTATAGATGATATAGATATACAATAATCGGATGCTTTGGGGCTCTGTTCACCAGGTGGCGAGGGCTCCTCAGTAGAGATGGGCGGTTATTGGTAAAAAACCGGTTATAGGTTAACCGGAATTATCTTTAAAAAATAATAACTTGACAAAATTAACCGACACAAATTAACCGGTTATTCAAATAACCTAACCTAGCAAAACTAAATATTTAGTTTTCCTATAGGTTTACTTACCTCTACACTCCATAGGTCTACTTCAAATTTAGATAATAAACTTAGTTAAATCGCATGATTAAATAGAGATTGTAGCAATGTAAGTATGTATATATACAAAATGAATTTAAATAAAAATGCTAACCTCACTTTTTTGAGTAGAGATGGATATGATATTAAAACTACTAATTCACAATTCACACAACTCACAAGTTCTACAATCTACAACCAAGTTATTTTAATCAAATACCAAAGAAAAATAAGGAGACTGAATGAATAGATAATGAAAGATTATCTTCATTCATTACTTGAACTTCAATTTTGTATTCTTTAGTCTAAGCTTCAAGAGAGACTTCAAACTACAAATAAAATATATTTACGGTGAAACGTGGGTGAAACTGGGCGAAACCATGGAAGACTTTTGAAGAACCGTTGAAAATCCGTTAAAGTCGGTTAAAATTTAAATATAGAATTTAGAGAATCTATTTGAAGTTAGGTTCGTATCACTTGGCTAGCTGGTGGCTAGTAGTAGTCTATGCCATTAGTACTTTGTTTTACGGCCTGACCTGTCAGGGCCATTTGGCCGTTGTTTTGATTATTATCATCAGGGTTCGCCTGATGCCTGATTTAATTTTGACATTTGATGTTTGATGTCATATATTTTCGTTTTGGGAGCGGGAGCGGGATCTCCCGTTATCGTCGTAATATCTGGAAGATCCGTGCCGTTCGCTTCTTCGAAATTTACGATTCAAACAGCTAATATTTAATTGTTACTTGTTTTAAACAAGTACGATTTTTTAAAAAATAACCGGCTATAGGTTATTGAACGTAATGCAAGGTTATTAGGTTAACTGGTGAAAAAAAAAACTACCTTTAAATAACCGGTTATTTTAGAGGAAAATACCGGTTATTCAAAAAACCGGTTACTTTTGCCCATCTCTACTCCTCAGAAGTTTGCGTATTCCCCTACGCCAAAGCCTACGCTATAATTTCGAATTTTTAGAAAAAGTGGGATTTCTCACTCTCTAATTGGTCGATTACTAGAGTTTCCATATTAGGAATGATTTTACCGTCCGTTAGTTAGGGTCAAGTTAGAGTCTTTCTTAAAAACAATGAGTATCTAAAAAAAAATCTGGGCTGAATATTTAAATCAGAGTAAAGACAAAATTCCCAACATTCCATTTATTAACAAAAATAATAATTCGACTGCATAATTAAGAAAATAGAAACGATAAACAATCGAACAAATTTTGAACGAAAAAGGATCGCGCGCAAACCTGTTGTTGATGAAAGATGACACCTAACAAGCACCTAACCTCACCGCGATACTTCAAAACATTCAAAATCTGAAAATAAAAGGGAAATTGAGAAATTCCTAGGCAAATATTGATTTTCCAGGCATATATGGCGTTCAGAACTAGTAAGTACTGTAATCTACTGTAGCAAAAATTATAACATTTCTTCGATATAAATCTATGTATGTTTTTGATCGTATTTATCGTCTTTTAATATAAATTATGTTCTGTTTTAGTGTTAACACGATCCCTATCGTCATAGAATTAGTGACCTAACAGTTAAATAAACCAACAACAGTTAAGAAAACCAACCAGTCAACTATGAATGGTTTCAAGCTGGACATGCTGATTGAATCCGCTAGATGCGCCAAAAATTAGGACCTGAAACCCGGATGTTCCTAAAAAGTTGCCAGTATTATGCATACAAGTGTATTAAAAGAGGATGGGGTTACGTGATACGTAACAATAGATACCAATTCCTTCAGTTGATCATCGAAGGAAAGATTAAGGGAAAGAGAGGATGATATGGCTTCGTAACATCAGACAGTGGATGAGACTCAGGACAGTGGAAGATCTGCTCCATGCAATGTGAAATAAAAAAGTGGCTGACTAATGTGATCGTGCACTTCCATTAGTGGATTTGCAGCAGAAGTCTTAAGGGACTGACTGCTAACATTAAATAGTGATTTGATAGTGGTTATCAGTGCAAAAAATGTGATATGTAATTGTTTTGTGTATGATAAATGATTAACTAGAGACTTGGTTTGTTGGAACAGAGGAAGCCTTATTTTTTATGATGATAAATTAAAGAAATGGGTTTTGTTCTACAAAGATATAAGGTATGCCTGATACACACAATTGTTTAGGAAAAAAAATAAAATTAAATAATAAAAGTACATAGTCGTATTGAAAATGTTTTCTTTGTAAGTTTAAACTCATTCTAAATCCAACAGAAGATACCAATATCTAAATTCGACTAAATTTTACTTGATTTAAACACATCAATATAATACCTACATACCTATCTACTAATACTTACAAATTACTCAAATAATTAGGGAGCAATCAACTTAAAACAAGTTTATGAACTCAATTGAGGGGGTAATAGATTTTAGTATTTCAATTTGTTCCATTTTTCCTGTTTGTCTTAGTCTCAGTCTTAGTAATTTGATTTTCTTTTGAAAAAATATTTTTAATGAAAAATAATTTCACAATGAACATCACAAAGAAAAAATATAGATACATATATCACAACCCTAGTGAATGAATAGAATTTGAAACCTCCTAAAGTTTTATAAAAAAAAATTACTGTGTACCTACACAAGAAATGATTTTTTTTTATAAGAGTATTAAGAATAGAAGATAAATATTAGCAATTTTGGCGACTTATTCTTAATTGTAAACTTGAAAATAAATCTTTATTAATTAATAATTGTATTTAAAACATATAAATTCTTATAATTAAAAAACAACTTACGAGTTCATACACTAACTATGATCTTTAGTTCATAGTTTATCCCCAATGTTCCAGTCATGCTTGCCCTATAACCCTTATTGATCCATTATCGAAGTATCTAATATACAGTAATATCCCCGGATTGTCTTTACAAGAGGAAGCACTTTTTTATTAACATTTTGATAAAAATGCATTTTTCATAAAAACATTTTGCTGGTTAATCCCGTTTATTCTTTGTCAAAATGCCACACCGTTTTAGAGAAGACTTAATAAAAACTTAAAAATATGGAAATCCTAAAAATCTAAATAATATATAGATTGTTATTGATAGAATTTTAATTAATGTCATATTTTTTCCTGTTTTAAAAGGTTAAAGAAGCACAACATTTATTTGATTTCAATGCAACGGAAAGCGTGATAGTAGTTATCCAGAAATGTGATACTTTAACAAACAGCAATATGACTTTAATCAAAATTAATAATAATTATTTCTTATTATTAATAATTACAAAATTCTTCCATATTTTCAATTTTTTTTTATTTTCTCTAATACGGTATGGAAATTTGAAAAAGTATCAACTGGGTTAACAATTTTAAAGGAAGCATTTTTTATGCAGAATGCATTATTATCAAAAGGTCAGTAAGAAAAAAGTGTTTCCTCTTGTAAAGAGAATCCGGGGACATACTGTAGGCAAATTTTCCAAATTTTTTTCTCTTGTTAATATAGATAAATATGGTATTTTGTTCATATTTATAATAAAAATACCATTCAAGATTAAGAAAAAAATATATTTTTCCATTGATTACACTTATTAAAATATGTAGAAAAAATCTTCAGGAAAACTAAAACTATTTTCAATGCGTATAGTTAAATAATTCTTATTTTTTATGTTTCCCCTAACACAGATCTATTCAATAAAATAATCTCCAATATTCAAAAAAATTCTGTATAATTTAATTTCATTTTATTATTGAAAATATTCTTTCTTGTACATCTGTTTGGAAATTAGCTCCAAATTTTATTTAAAAATAAAAATTTCTCTATCAAAAATTGCTTGTTGACATATTTTTTTACATGGAAATAAAATTTGTGGCCGACCAAGGTTAAATCAAGGTTAAAAACTCGGATTTAGAAAAGAAAGTTAAAAATATACTGAAATATACTATTAAGGTTGTCGCCCACTAGACCGCTGTGCGGCGCGGCGCTGGGAAGAGAATTTTTTCCGGCTGCGAAGGGACTGCGCCCACTATAGCGCGCTTTTGAAACGCGGCAACGCTATTTAGTTATAGTCGAAGTGTTTTTTACTTACTGTAGTTTAGTTTTTAAAGCAATGAGTTCAAGTACGGACGAAAGCGTATTTTTTGTGCTCTTCTAACAGAGGAAGAGGAAGAGGGGGTGAGGAAAAGTTTGGACTCATACGATTAACAAAAAAAGAAAGAAGTTTGGAGAATTTTACCATCTTTTTCCAGATTTAATAAAAGACAAAATCATTTTTTTCAGTATTACAAAATATAAAGGAAACATTTTACGCACTCCTCAATTGAGGGTTTTAGAAGAAAAAACACCGGGTATATCTACTCATCATATTTTTTCAGAAGAGACAAATTACTAATATTTTTGATAATTCTTATTTATTCTGATGTGTATATTAGTTATGTGGTCAAAAAAACCCTGATCTTTTTTATATATTTAGGTAATTAGAATTTAAAAATTGGAGATTGTCACTTTTGTTAAAAAGTGGAGATTGCCAGTTTTGCCTCTACACCCCTCAATTATATTAAATCTTTGATAGAAAGGCATTTCGTCCATCTGTCTCTAGTGAGGGAAGACTAAAAAAAATATCATATTCCTTTATGAAAATCGATTTGCCTAATTTACCTTTAAAAATACAATTCTGCCATTGATACATATCACTAGTTCCTAGTCAAAAAGCCAACTGAAAAGACTCGAATGCAAAATTATTTCCCTTGTGAGTACGCACACTGCAACGCGCCGAAACGCGGGAGACGGAAAGTTGCTAGAGAAGTCTTCCGACTTCTTGACGGAAATCCCGCGGCGCGCTTCTCCGCTGCGCGCTCTAATGTGCGTTGGTCCATTTAAGTACATGGCAAGCAGACAAAAGAAATTTCCACATGGCGCCGCGCCGCGTCGCGCTGCGGTCTAGTAGGCGACAACCTTTAAACCTAGATCCGCCCATCTCCCACCATTTTAATTGAGGGGTAAAATTCTTGGCGATTTTCATTCATTTTTAAGGTTCAAAAAAAGACCGCATGGTGGCAGCAGCTCACAATACCCCTCATTGTCAGACTATATTATATATAGACAAAGGTAAAAGCACAAAACACATACACAAGGAGAAGTGCGAGCGCCTTGCTAAATATTGGAAAGTGAAATTGACGTTTAAATTTGACACTGTTGACAAGTCTACTGCTACTAGCGCCCCCAATATCGCTTGTAGGAACTACGGACTAGATTGTCACGCATGGCGGGAAGTTTAAAAAAATAAAAAATTTTAATTCTTCATTTATTTTTAATTATGACATAGATAAAAACACAAAAAATACACCATTTTTTAAAAATATGTTTAATATCAATATCAAATATACAACAGAAATTAATTTCACCACAATAAATTAATAAAATTAAAAAATAATGTTACAAGTAGATCAAGAGACAAAATTAATTATAACAAAACTGAAAAAAATGGCGTCATAGATGGCTTAGAAATGACGATATATATCATAATTTTGAAAGTAAAATTATATAGGAAATGTCATCGATCATCATTTTGAAGCCAACTGGACGATTATTTCAAACATACAAGCTGAGTTCGTTCATAGTGCTCTGAGAAATCTAGATAAACAAAGAATAATAAATTAAAAGTATTCCAGGGAAAAAGAGAGGAAAAACCTGTATCGTCTCTGATATCTGTCAGGGTTTTGTTGAAAGTGTCATCTTTTTGCTCGAAGTTTTCAGGTCGATTAAAAAGATGACATTTACAACAATACTTTGCCGTAACTTTCACAAATATCAGAGAGAGAGTACAGGTATTGCCTCTCTTTTCCTCTGGGATGCTTTATATCTGTTCTTCTTTGTTTACCTATATTTCTAAGAGCATAATGCCAAACACGACTACAGTATATAATAATTTCAATATCCTAAGTGGAAAGAAAAAAGATCACCTTTCTGTTTTGTACTATGGTCCCTTTCTTCCGATGGCTCATCTCGTTGATATTTAGGAAGGTATCCATAAAATATATATTTTATTATCGGTCCTGGGATGAAAAAATATAAAATTCAATTTCATTTGATGATCCTTTTCTGTCACCTAAATCAGGAGAATGACAATGAGCATGTTAAGATGAAAAAAAACTTATTTATCAACACTTACCTACACGTTAGTCCAAGGAGTTTTATCAAAAACCTATATTTGCCTAAATAATTTATGTATTCAATTTACAAAGCAAACTGCAGCGTGTAAACAAAAGAAATAAAATGGCGACAAGTCACGTCAACGACCCGACAAGGAGAAAAAGTGGTGTTCGAATAACAATTTATGGGTTGCAAAAATTGTTTTGTCTCCTTTCAACGCACACTTTAGAAAGAAAAAGAGATGAACAGTTATACTGAAAGAATGTCAAGGTTTTATCTGTCACTCTTGTCAATAATTTATCGGTAAAGAAGATTCCTAGAAAATCGCTTGTAGTCAAGTTTTCAACCATTTCCAGTTCTCCCATAAGAAGTGTCATCCACCTGGGTAAAATTGTGGATCCGGTGGCTGACCTTGAAACGAGTTTTTGCTGCATATAGTCACAGACACTACGCATGCGCACATCGTCGATGTTGCCAGATTGCAAGTTATTTTGGAATTATTTTCAGTAGAAAACAAATTAGTGCTTTTCAATGTTTTTTTTTTGTCAATATATATCGTATGATCGAAAAAACGGCGTGAGGACATTTCCCATATAAAATGAGAGCGATCTTCATTTCACATAGTCATCGCTGGCGCTATTTTTTTTCGATCATAGTACGGTATATTATTTATATTATTATTTTAATATTTCGCACAAAACGTGAACGCTTATTATGTATTTTCATAGTCAATAAAATTAAATAGAAATAAAACTCTAGATTCCTATAATTAATCTAATTGCTCTAGATTATTATCATAGTTTAAGGAAAAGAGTAGTTGCACTCTCGCAAATATTTTCTGCCAGTTTTTGCAAGCTGTCGAATATCGGCAGCTTGCAAAGCGTTTCATGGCGTTTCAGTTGAATTCTGTCCGTCGAGCTGCGAGGTTCGAGCGTTGCGTTCCAGCGCAGAGACGGATTGACAAAAAATGAGTGCCTTACTGTGTGCTGCTATTAATTGTAGTAATAATTCAAAAAAATGTTCTTTGAGTTTTTTTAGATTTCCATCGGATGTCAATCGGCAAGCTGATAGTA